ATCCTGTGGTTGGGTATGTAGGGGTGGAATTTCTGGGTCCTAGGGTATTTTTTGAGGAACCACCAAACTGTTTTCCAAGGTATCTGAACTCTTATATTTTCAGAAACAATGCACAAGAGTTCCAATATTTTTCCATACCCCAATCAACCCTGTTATTTTCCACTTTCTTTTTGTTTGGAAGTTTTATCGAAGGCCTTGCTGCTGGACCCATTTAAACCAGAACAGCCAGCCTAATGGTGTGAAGCAATATGCCCCATGGCTTCCATCCCATTCCCCTGGTGACTAACATGGCAGAGTATAATGTGTGTTTGTGTGTCTGTTCAAGTCATTTGCCCATTTTCTAGTTGGGTTTTTTTGTCTTTTTGTTGAGTTGCTTCATAGTCCACGATTTAAGGAAACCCTCCCAGGGGCAGCAGGTGCCTCTCAGGCCCTTTTCTTCTCTACTCCTTCCTCACGTCAAAACATGCACAGCTCCATGTGCACCATCCATGCAGAGGAAAACCTGAAGGGTTAGTGTGCACCTCTTCTCCACCCCCAGCAGCGGCGACCCTGCCTCTAACACAGAAAGCAAGAAAGATACTCAGAGGTAGAGTAAGATGTCCAGGGCCTCCGGGGAAGCAACAGCTACAGGGGGAGAATACAGAAGTGGAAGAGAAGCAATTTCTAAGACAGCTGAGAGGGAAATGGTATGAACCAGGGGAATTTATTCATTCTAGAAACTTCTACTACTGGTAGATGATAAAACCAGGCTAGAGCAGTAAGTTTAACAGAAGGTTCTCATATTTGCCCCCCCACCCCACAGCTTTGACCAAAGATGGCGGTGGTGGGTTGGCTGGGACCCTCCTCCCCACTCCCCTACAGATTAGATCTTGCTGCCTGGCTGGGCTGTTCCTACCCTCAGGGGCACTCCTGCCCCCCTGCTGAGCCACTAAGAGGAGGCCTGGGAGCCCTGGGAGGTTATCCCTTCTGGGAAGTCAGGGCAAACCATTTGCCTTCACTGAGCTCCATAGGGCTTTGAAGACTCTAAGTCACTCACAGGACATTCAAGAGACACTAAGATCTTTTTTGTTGACAAGCCTCTCTGCCCATCACATCTCACCATGAGACATGATTTCTTTGGGTCGCAAAGCTCTGCCTTTGTAAATACCTCTTTGTAAAGCCCTGAAGGAAGGACTCACTCCTTAGTCCCGGGTTCCAGACAAGAGCTGCTCATTTTCAGAAGTCCAACCTTGCACAGACAGGAGATGGGAAAGAGAAGCTCCCACAGGAACCTCATGAAGGAGGAAAACCCTGTGGGTATTCTCAGGCCTAGGCCAGACCCAAGGGCACTCCTGCACGGAGTCCATGTGCCTGGTGCTGTTGGGGGGTTTTGCCAGATAACCTGGAATGTGGAAAATCCCCAGGTGGCCCCAGAGCCAGCTGAAGACCCCTCAGACCTTGAGCAACCCCCTCCCAACTTGGGGCCTGGCTGTCCCTGTCTATAAATAGTGGGGCTGGGCTCAATGGTGTCCAAGATTTCTTTTAAATATTACTTCCATGTTCTGGCTGTGCCCAGGATGTGAAGTCAACCTGGTTGAATGATAGCCCTGCCACGGAGCAACTGGGTTTCCCATGGCCCCTCTTCCAAGTCCTTCAAGGATGACACCACCTCCTCTCTTCTGTGTGAACACTTCCCACCATCAGACAAGAAGCTGGGGTCCTGCTCTGAACCTTTCAGCTTCCCACACTGTCCTCCTTAACCAAGCCTCTGGCTTCTGCACCGGGTGGGCACACACAGGAAAAGGTCTCCCCACCTGCCAACCACACCCACAGAATTAATAAAGCACACCCCCCCCAAATAAAGCGCCAGAGGCCCCCAGGGAGTTGATGCCGCTGGAGATCTAAAGCCTAGCGACACAGTGACACCTTACCAGGAACCCACAGTGAAAAGATCTTTCCTGCAGCCACAGGGGCTGCTCTGTCCCTTCAGCGCAAGGCGGGACCAGCCTCAGGTGCAGAGCCTTCTCCAGCCCTCAAGGTCAGCCAAGACATGGGGACTGCTCTTCGTCTGCTGCCTCCCCGCCCTCCAGGGGAGAATGACTACGGAGCAAACGCTGGCCCCTATTTTCCTAATTCCAGGTCAAATTTGTCTCACATACATTCATTCGTCGGAAACTTTTTTAAGAGTCCAGAAGAGAATAATTCGGATTCAGTTTCTCTTAATCTCTAAACTTCGGTCGGCAATACTAAGGTTTCTATTGCTGATTTCTTTCTTTTTCTTTTTTTAAACAAAACCCTGTTCTTTGAAAAACTCTAGGCATCCTTACAAGGACTTGGTCCGACTACAGGGCAAAGAGCGGGGTGAGTTTCCCCGCATAGCCAGGCAGAGCAAACTGGGCGCGCCGCCCTGAAGACCCAGCGCAACGAGACCCCGCCAGGCTTGCTCCCAGCATCTGACCCGGGGTGCGAACTGTCATTGGTCTAGAAGGGAACAAAAGACTGGGCTGTGGGAAGGACTTTCTGAGGGTGGCCCCCTCACCCTGTGCGCGCTACCTTGACGCTCCCGGGACCCGCGCAGCTTCCAGCCCGGATAGCTGCGCAGTGCAGCGAAAGAGCGGCCGCTCCAAGCTATCCCGTCCCCTCCCGGCCCTGGGGCAGGGCGCGCGCGCCACTCACAAACTCAAAGACGAAGAGTAAGTCTGGGAAGGTGGCGAAGACCGAGAAGCCACTGGGCAGGGAGCTGCCACCCGAAGCAGCTGCGGGAGCCATGCCGGCGAGCTGGCGTCGGCCTCGGGACTGGACGCGCGCGCGGCTGCGGCTCCGGCTGCTTGCTGACCACTCGCTTGCTGGAGAAGCCCAGTGGCCGGGCACCCCTGCGCGCGGGTTAAGAGCTGGGGCGTCCGGGGCATCGGAGGGCGGAGCCCCAGGCCTGCCCCGCCCCCGCCCCACCAGGGGACCTGGTCAGGGCGCCGCAGGCGCAGCCCAGAAAGACACCCAGGGCACTCTGCGGACTCGCGGAGCCAGGGACCGGGACCTGATGCCCACGTTCCCCCCAGGGCTGCCACCTCTGCCGAGAGCAGGATCCGTGAGGCGCTTCGAACTTTGCGCGCCTTGCAGGTGATCACAGTCCTTTAAGAATGATGGCCACCAATAGCCTGGTCTCTTAATCCTCCCCTAAGGGACCCCTCGGGTCACTATAGCTTTAACTCTTTAGTTGGGTCTCCATCTTTCCGCTGGGTGCTTTAATGTGCAAGACCTCCCCGTCCTGGTTCACCGTGGGGAGGGTTCCCGGTCCTAACCTCCGCTGCAACCTGCTGGGTCTGCCTGGGAGTCGCTGAGATGGCTCTGGCCATGGATGGGTCCCTTCTTGCGTGGTGGGAACCCAGCAAGGGGAACCTCGCACCCGCCCCGCCCTGGTCCTCTTGATGCAGCCGCTGTGTCTGAGTGAGGGCAGGGCTTGCTCTCACCTGCAGCGGTGCTGGGCAGGGTCACAGTGAATCTCCGCTGCAGGAAGGAGCATTGATAGAGATTGGAGGTGGGACGACCCCGCACCCCACCCCAAGAGCTTTGACTCTGTTGACCCTCGGGTTGTTTTGCATTTTTTTCTTAACAATTTTGAAATTCTTATTTGCTTTTATTTTTAAACAAGCATCACACTCCCCTAGTTGCCCATTTAATTTACTATTCTCAGTATCACTGCCGAGTGAGTTTCCTTTACAACCGTGATAACCTAAGGCATGCCAGCAGGCAGTGGCGTCAGCTTTCAACTCACACCCTACCTGTACCCAGGGTCACTTCCCCCTCTAGCAGCTCTGTTCCCTTTCCAGCTGCTAGAGAGAGAGGAAAGGAAATTCCTTCACTTGTTTTCCAAAGCAAATGCCCTCTCCCTTGACTTATGAAAGGGACCAGGCATTTGAAATGAGAAAGTCCCATTCTGCCTTGGTGAGCCTCTTCCGGGTCTTCCACCTTGGTGTCTTGGAACTGGGTGCCACAACCCAGGGCAGGACCTCTTTGGCTATAAGGGGCTGCAGGGTTTTCTGGGGCCCTCCCCTCTTGTCCTCACTTATGCTGGGAGTCTTCCAGCTTGTAAAGTGGACCTCGTGGCTCCCAAGAGAACATCTTCCTCCCAAGGAAACTGTAGACAATCCTGAAAGCCAAGTGGCCACAGAGAGTCACCCAGGGCACAGGATGACAATAACCCTCCAGCAAATCCGGCCAGAGTGGCTTAGCAATTTCTCTGTGGTTTATACTAATTGGAAACTCACACAAAGCTCCTGCCCACTCAATACCGTCTTTGCCCAGCCTTGAGGCTTAGCTGTGCTTTGGTTTGGTTTGTTATTTCACTACCTCTTTCAACCCTTTGTTGCTAAAGTCCTTCATGCTTGGGCCAGTGACTTTGGGGGAAAACCTGGTTCCTGGTGCACCCCACGGAGGCTCCAAAGAGCCAGCCCTCCCTGGGTAAGGTATGGGTGGAGGAGTCTCTGCAAGACAATACAGAGGATTAGGAGGGCTCCTGGGTCCAGGACAGGAGGCTTGTCCTTATCTGGTGAGCCTTCATTTCACCTGGAGTCCTTTGCCTGATGTTCACCTTCTTTTCCAAACTCGAAACACTGTGGAATGTCTCCTGTCCCCATCCCCACCGCCATTTCCTTCCCTGATGCAGTATATCCTTGGCAGTCAACCAGGGACCCAGCCCTGGGTTCTGTTCTCAGTAAATATTTCCCACTATCAGAAGGCCCCAGTCTCATTTGGGCCAGGTGCCCAGAGAAGAAGTGGAACAACCCGGGTTGAACATAAAGAGCACTGGCAAATCTAGATGGGCCTCTTCACTTGACAGCAAAGCCTCCCAGGAAGTTCTGGGACCCTCCTGATGATTTGGGAGGTTTGTATTTGTAAGAAGTCTAGGATCTCAACTTGGTTTCCAGCAGGATATGAAAAAAAAAAAAAAAAAAAAAGACCCACTTCAGCCAGCAATTCTCTGCAGAGGCCTGAGTCTTCCCAATAGCACAATGGGTGTGAATGCATGTAGGTCTGGCGTGGATCTGGGCTTTGTCAAATTATCTGATGTCCTAGTGCAGGTTTCTACCAAGTAGAAACTGGAGGTCCCTATTGCTGTGCAGCTGAGTCAGGAAAAGGTCACCTCTGGCTTATGTGTGAATAGGGAGGGAACAGATGGGAGAGTGGGACGTGTTCAGGGAAAGACTCATGGGGTAGGAATTGCCAATGAATAACAGCAAGGGTAATTTGGTTTTGAGGTCAGTAAGAGGACTCCCTCTTTAAGGTGAGGTAACAACCTCAGAAAGGTTAGACAGCTGCTTAGTGGAACTCAGCCTTGAACCTGAGGCTGCCGACCTCCAAAGCTGCAAGCACTTGATTGAAACCATGCTTGAGATGGGCAGATGCCCGTCAAATGCCAAGCTCCATACATCATCAGGTATGGCCCTGGCCCTTGCTCCCTGGAGCATCTCTATGCTGCTGACAGGCCCTGGGACCTTCCCTCCCCTGACTGGGGATACAGGAAGGTGGGGTCATCTTCCTGGTACAGGTGAGAAAGCTGGGAACATGCCTGCTTCAGAGCTACCCAGAGCCGCGCATTTTCACGGATGGCATGAGACACTGAGGACCCCTGCTGGGAGGATGGAGTAATGCAGCCACAGCTGCCTTGTCCCCAGATGTGGAGAGGAGCCAGCTTCACCAGGGCCTAAGCACCCAGCTCTGCCACAGCTACTTAGCCCACGTGATCTCATTTGGTCCCAGAGTCTCTCTGGTGGGTGTCACCCCACCATCCAGGCTCAGAGTGGGTGGGAATATGTCCGGGTCACACGGTGGCCAAGCAAAGCTGTCCTCTTGAATCTAGCAGGCAGGCTGTCCCCACTCCTCTGTGCCCACTGTACAAAGCCACAGACTTGAAAACTAGAAGTGGCAGTTGTTCACCAGAGGGCTGTCCTCTGTTGGCCCCAGGGGGTGCCGTGTGCCCTGCCACCTCTAGGGACAATGAGCCGCAGAGTTGCTCGTTCTTCTTTCCCAGCCTCCCTGGGCTCGTGCTGTCTAGTGCTCTGGGATTCTGAGCACAGAGCTGGGCTGGCATCGTCTGGGAGTCTCCAGGAAGAAAGCAAGTCCTTCTCCTCTGGAGAGTTCTGTCTGAAAGGGATGTCACACTCGTGTTGGTGGATACTTGGCCAGGCCCTCTTTGGGCTAGGTCTGCACTGGGCCCTTTCCCTGTCACCATAGGCCAAGTACCAAGGGGTGGCATCTTAGTCTGTTCAGGCTGTTGTCACAAACTGGGGAAATTATAAACAACAAAGATTCAAGTCCAGTCGAGGCACTGGCAGATTTTTCTGGGGAGGCCTACTCTCTGGTTCTTCTCTCTGATGGTGCCTTCTTGCTCTCTGAGGGGTCTCTGGCCTCTTTTACAAGGGCACTCATCCTATCCTCGGGAAGGGGCTCCTCCCTGTGACCCAATCACTTCCCAAAGGCCCCCCTCCTGATAGCACCACCTTAGGGGTTAAATTTCTACACATAAATTTTTTGGGGGACACAGCATTCAGACCAAAGCAGCTGGCACAGAGACTAATCCTTCTGCAGTAAGTTGAGGTGGGAGCAGTTTGCGGCAGAGCCCCCATTTCTGGGCACTTCTAGGGTGGCAGCTGTGTTCCTGCCCTGCAGATGCAAACTGAATAGAGGTCCCCAGCCTCCATTCCCTCATGAGTCCAAGTTCAGTTTGCGCTGGGCAAAGAGGAGCCCATAGAGGAGGGTGGACATCACCTTGGCCTTTATGAAGTGCATTCTGGGGTCCAGACATAGTAAATGTGTGCTGATGTTTTGTGCTGGATGTGGGGTCAGGGAGCCCCAAGAGAATCCACCAGCATAGCCCGTCCTGGCTTAGGGCTGGGTGCTTGAGGAAGGAGGTGCCCTATAGCTGCTGGGCGGGGGCAAACCAGGTGGTGGGGAGAGGTTTCTGATACAGGAACAGACAGCCCCTGGGCCCTCATCTCCTGGGGTTCCGGGGGCACATGGTGTCTCATGCTACATGCCTGAAAGATCACATAAAGACACCAATAGGTAGAGTCAAGCCAGGCAGTGGAGAGGGGAGAATGCAAATGTGAGCAGATAGGAGTCCAGGGCAGAGGAAGAACTGCGGCCAGGGCTGGTGCTGGCCAGAGAGACAGGGGGCCCGCAGGCTGCATTGAATTGGGGTGTGCAGAGGAGAGGGAGAAGGGATGCCAGGCCCGGGCAAGGGTGCAGAAGCTGGGGAGCAGGAAGCCCTTGACCCATGTCAGGAGCAGGGTGGCTGCTGAGCAGGGCTGGAAAGAACTGGGCGGTTCTGGGCTCAGGGAAAAGAGTCAAAAGTCCACGGGCAGGAAGCACAGGTGGCACTGTGTGGCTTCCCTCTAGCTAACCCAAGGGCAGCTGTCGCAGCTCCTGCCTGCTAGGAGACAGTCCTCTCTGCCCAGGGAGGGGGCCCAGCACCTCTGCATGGCAGTTCAGCACCCGCCCAGCAAGTTGCACCAGGAATTTGGCCCAAGTTGACTGAAACCTCAGGAAACGTGAACTCCACAGAGCAGGCGGGGCCTGTGGGTCCTGGGAATGCAGTCTTAGCAGGTTCGGGGCTGGGCGGGGGCTCTTTTTCTTGAGGTTTCACTAACAACACCCTCAGATAACCTTTGCCACACAGCAGGCCTCCTGAGACGCCCAGCTGGCTGCTGAGAAAATACCAGAAGTGAGCAGCCGCGCCCCAGAACCAGCCTGACCCCGGGCTTCTCCTTCTCAAGCGTGTACTTGGGCCTTTCTCTAAAACCCTCTGGCTCTGGAACTGACCCCCTCATGCGTGACCAGGAGCCCACCTTCTAGAGAGACCACGTCGCCCTTCGTCAGTGGGTCAGACCTCTGACCTCGCCCTCCTGCCACTGATGGTGACCGCGGACACTCTTGGACTGTAGATTTTATTTAGTGTTCCTGTTTTCTGTTGGAAAAAATACTCCCATGCTTGGAAAGCAGCAGAAGAGCACTGGGTTGTACCCACCCCTTCTTCCAAATCAGGGCAACTGTCTCATCTCTGTAGGTTGTTGTTGTTATTATTATTAGAAATCATGTAGAGATGGATTCGTTCATTCTCTGAACTTCTATTTCCAGGAAGTGATACATCCATTCATTCAGCCTCCAGGTGAAGACCCTCCAAAGCTGCCTGAGCACAGGCCACCAGGCTGGGCATGGAGGTGCCTTGGGAGCCTGGGAGGTGACAGCAGGGCCAGCGCACCGCAGGCATTTCAGGGTGGGGGCCGCGGAGCCCTGGCGGAGGCTGGGGGAGTGCCCCTTTGGGGAGGTGCCAATGTTTCCTCAGTCCTGAATCAACTTGGAACAGAGTTCGAAGAAGCAAGGAGGTGGTACCAGCCCAGAGGTCCCCGAGTTGACCCACCGGCCCTGGAGATGTGGAAAGGCATGAGATCAGAAAACAGTAAAACCATAAATCTCAACCAAAGCAGAATCCAAACTTGCTGCAAAAGAATGGAATGTTCTCCTGGGCGCGAGCAGGAGCTTGCTCACTGGTCTCTGGACGCCCAGTTCTGAGCACGTGGGGAGGGCAGTGCGTGTTAAAGGACAGGGAGAGAGGGAGGGGCTGGGAGGGAGGGACAGAGAGGAAAGCAGGCAAGGGAAGCCCATGACCCCTCGGGGTTTCCTAACCTCTTCACTCTTGTCACCAAGTGTGTCCCTTAGGTGATTGTTCCTGCCTGATACAACAAATAGGTCAGTTCTCCCAGCTCTAGGGCTTCAAAGAAGAGGCAGAAAGAGCTCCCCACTGCCCTGGGGCTTGTTCTGCGGCTCAAAGCAGCAGAGCTTAAAAGGAAGGGAGGAGCCTCGACCCGACCCCCTGGATGGCAGAGGAGGCCTCCAGAGTGCACCCCAGAGGCTCATGGGAGTGGAAGCCCAGGAGGTGGGGGGCCTGCAAGGAGAAGGGCTGGGGCCTCAGCTGACCAGCCATTGCACCACTGAGGTGATTCAGACCCACCTCTGCCTCACCTCCCAGATGCAGCCTCCCCCAGACCCAGCACCTCCCAGATATAGCAACCCCAGACCCTGCACCCCCTAGACTCTGCACCCCAGACCCTGCATCCCCTAGACTCTGCACCCCCAGACCCTGCACCCCCTAGACTCTGCACCCCAGACCCTGCATTCCCTAGACTCTGCACCCCCAGACCCTGCACCCCCTAGACTCTGTACCCCCCAGCCCCTGCACCCCCTAGACTCTGCACCCCCAGACTCTGCACTCCTCAGACTCTGCACCCCCAGACCCTGCACCCCCTAGACTATCTTCCCAAACCAGCAGTTCCCAAATCTCCTCACTTCTCAGATCCATCAAGTCCCCAAACTCCTTAAAAAATTGGAGAGACCAGATCCCTGGCCCCAGCAGATCCCCTGAGCATGTCACCTCTCCCCACTGTGTCCAATCCACTCAGCTCAGGACAGTCACCAGATGCAGGACCTCTGTGTCTGCACCAGGGGACACCCTGTGGGGGGGTTAGGGGTGGAAGACAGTAGACATCTGGATACTGGCAGGAAAGTGGCAGGAGAGCATCCCTGGGAGGTGAAGAAAGGAAGTCACAGGCCAACGTATAAATATAACCCTTTTTTTCTCTTTAAAAAAATAAATAAAAGCTTATACATTCTTGGCTAAATAAGCACTAGAAAGCCAGAGCCACGTGTTTCATGGTGGGGACAGGATTGGTGGGTGAGGGAGTGGGTATCAGCATACAGAAAACACACTCCAACATAGAGGAGGGGCTCGCGGTGGCCCCGTGGCGGGCGGAGCCCTTGCCTGGCTTGTGTGGGGCCCTGGGTGCCATCTTCAGCACCACATAGAAATAATGAAATCAAGGTCACCGACAACTAAGAAACACACTAAAGGAGGGGTCACCTCTGCCGCGGCCACTGCCCTGCTGTGCCACCTCTGCCTGTGGCACAGCTCTGACTGTGGACAGAGACTTTGTACTCAGAGGTCCCCATTTCTAGGGACAGTTCCCCCGCTACTGCCCCACCTCTCAGGGCAGGCCTGGAGGTTTGGCTGGACAGACTGCGGCATGCCTGAGGCCTAGGACGGCTGATAGACCTATGTCCCTGTCCCCAGAGGCCTCCGACCTGGGAGCACCCGGCTCTTAGCTTGCTGATCTCAGTCCACGACATGCGGCAGCCCCTGGCTTAGGTTTCCAGAGGAACCTGGCCCTTGAGGTGCCAGGCAGGGCTGAGCCACTCTTCTTACCACGTTGCCCCCCCCCTCGTCCCATGTTGAAGGCACAGAGACACCTGTGACCCCTCAGATTCCAGAGTGAGCTTGGGACCTGACTGGCTGTGTCCCTTCTGTTATGTACTCAATATGCAACTTCAGACGAGTGGCTTGGCCTCTCTGTGCCTCAGTTTCCTGGTCTATGCAATGGTGACAGTAATCCCTCCGTCATAGGGTTATTGGGGATTAACAAGATAAAACATGTTGAGCGGCCTCTTCAGAGCCCAGGATGAAGTGAACCTCGGGGTGCAGGCACTAGCAGGGCCACAGGTTGACCGGGGACTCGTCCCCCGCCCACACACAGGACCCTTTCATATCCTCCTCGCCCAACAGAACTGCAGAGCCACAGCTGAGGGGTGGGTGCATTGCCAGTGACCACACAGCTCCGTCCACCACTGGCTTCACAGGGCTCCGGGGAGAATCAAATTCACAGAGGCCCCAGGGTTTCCCTCGGCCCGGTGGAAACCCCGCCCCATGGGCTCCTTCCTGCGCTGCTCCTGTGCCACCACCTGGCACCATGTCATGGGGTGTGTGGGCAGGTGGACTGGTCCTCGCCAAGCCTTAGTCACCTGGTCAGCCAGCTCTGGAGACGTCACCTGGGTGGCCTCTCCCAGGGTGTTCAGAGCCCTCCAAGCCCACACATGGGGACCACCCAGGCCTGCTGGAGGCTTCATGGTCCTGCCTGTCAGGCCTGGCTCCGGTCCTGAGTGGTGGCTTCAAATCAGCAGGCTCCCTTGGCCTCTGTGATGACCTTTGGTTTCCGGCTCTGTCACGGTCACCTGAGGGGCTGGGTGGCCTTGCCCACCCTGCAGCAGTGCCTGCTGGGGGCAGCAGAGGAGCATCCTGCTTTTCTGTCCTTGTTCCTGCTCTGCTGTCATCTGTCCCCCCCACCCCCAGCTTCCAGTCCTGAACCAGCTTTGTCACCAAGTCCCCTTCCCTCTCCAGATCTCTGGGACTGCACAGTCTTTCTTCTGGTCACTAACTGTAATGTGATTGCCTCAGATGACCTGATGAGTAGGGGCTCCCCTTGGTTCAGGGGTCCCCTGGGCTCACTGTTTGTCCCGTGCTATCTCATCGCACTGCCTGACCACTTTTCCTTTAACTGGCAATGTCACCCTTGTAAATAGAAAACACGGTGTTGTCACGGAGCTGAGAATACACGCCTTGGAAACTGGCTGCAGGGCGGTGCTGGGAGATTCTGTGGCCAACCAAGGTCTTCAGGGGGCTGAAAAGTGTGGAGATGTGTCCCAAGGGCAGCCCGGTAACCACTGGCCTCCGCTCTGGCACTGCCAGCCCAGAGGTGCTGGGCACTCTTGTGCACCCTATAAGGTCCCTGCCCGGGATGAGGTCAGGATGAGGGACTTGGGCAGGTACATCTGCAGCCTAGTGGGCTGTACCCGATGAAGTGGCAGAGGCTGAGCCCCACCTGGGGAGGGGTCCTGTCAGTCAACCGCTTGTCACCTTGCCTTCTCAAGTTCTTTAAGCATCGACAGTCCCAGGGACCTGGGACGGTATTTACAGGCCCTCTCTGCTGTTGTGCTTTGGATCTTCAGTGTCCCAAAGGCCCTATGCTAAGGGGCTGGTCACCAGCCTGGGGAGGGGTGGAAGCTCCAGGTGGGGCCTCGTGGGAGGATGGACAGATCCCTGGGGGCTGCCCTTGAAGCGGGGATGGGGCTTCAGCCTCTTCTGAATCTCTCTGCTCCTGACCTCCATGAGGTGAGTAGTATCCACCACGTGGTCCTCACCGCCAGGGGCTGCCCTGCCACAGGCCCCAAAGTGGCAGGTCCAAGCAACCAGGGGCCGAAACCAGGGCCCCGATTGGATCGACCTTTCCCTGTCTGAGTTGTTCGTCTGGGGTTCATGCTGAGAAGGGGAGCGAGCACACCCGGCCTGGGCCAGCTTTACCCCTGCGAATCTCTTTCCCGTCGCCTCGGGTTCTCAGGGCCTGCGGCTCTGGCACCGGGGCTTGGAGCCCGACGGTGGTCACCTGCTTCCCCTCATGGCTGCTTCGCTCCTGTGTAGACATTTCCCTTCCTTTTTGTTCCAGCCTTCATAGTCACCAAGTTCTTCCTGCTTTAGAAAGCAGGGACAAGTGTGGTGGCTGGCCACCAAACCCTGCAACCCCAGCAGTCCCTAAGTCATGGGGAGAAGGGAAGCAGGACACTAGGTTCCTGCCCCTGGGCCCTGTCTGCCACGGCATCCAGTAGTAAAAAATGGTCACTTGGGCTTGTTTCCATCAGCTACAGTCTAAGTGACCGAGTCCGTAGCAAGAAGAGAGGCCTGACTCAAATGAGCAGCAGAGTCCCCAGAGGGCCCCTAGGGCTACATGCAGAGCAGAAGGCTGGATGGGACCACTGGGTAAAACACTCAGAAGGAGCTGGGCACAGTGGTGCACACTTGTAATCCCAGTGACTCTGGAGGCTGAGGCAGGAGGATCGGAACTTTGAGGTCAGCCTCAGCAATTCAGCAAGGCCCTAAGCAACTTAGAGAGACCCTGAATCAAAATAAAAAGTAAAAAGGGCTGGGGATGTGGCTCAGTGGTACAGACCTCTGGGTTCAATCCCTAGGATGGATGGATGGATGGATGGATAGATAAATAAATAAATAAACGAATAAATAAATAAATAATTCAGAGCTGAGAGTTTGGGGGTCTCTGACGATACCGTGATGGACTCATGAGACGTGGTCAGGAGGGGAGTGTCTGGGTACATTCCTCGGGGCACGGTGGAGGTCTGGCAGGTACCCGGCAGCAGGAGGTGGCAGGTGGTCTAGTAACCGAGGGAAACAGGTGCTAGTGGAGGTCCTGGCCCTGCACACAGACTGTGGTGAC